GCTATCAGAGCTCCTAAGGATATATCTTAGAGAAATAACACCCATGAGACAAACACACACATGCACAGCCCTGATTACTGCAGTGTTATTCACAGCAGCAAAAAGATGGAAACAATGTAGGGGCCCATCAACAGACAAATGGATCAACCATGCCACATACACACAATGCTAAAGAACAATGAGTGTGTGGAGCACCTCCTAACGTGGATGAGCTGGAGGACATCCCACTGAGTGAAATCAGGCAACCACAAAAGGACAAATGCTGTATGAGACCACTACTGTAAAAAGGCAAGACAAGGGGGACACACAGAAAGAGACACTCTTTGAAGGTTATCTGGCAGGGAAGGGAAGTCACTAAAAGGAAGACACATAACAACCTGGTGAAGGGAGAAGGGAAAAAGGAAAACATGATGATGAGGAGGTCAGCACCAAGTGATGAAGGCCGAGGAAGACCCTAGAAGGGGCAAAAGAGCTAAAGGCAACAAAGGTAACTCCTCCAAACACAGCGCTGCAAGAACAGTGGTCCTGGTAATCTGCGAGCGGACACACAAAGAGATACCCACGCTGGACAGGTGTGGAAAGGTGAACGGGACTACAGCCATGAACATACACAGGTCTGACAGAGAATGTCTGCACTCATCTGTACATCCTGCAAACACATCACGAATACAGCAGAGCACACATGGGGCAAAGTTATGAAAACTCTGTAGCCATAACCAAACACCTTGAGGGAGTGAGTCGCTGGGCCTGTGGGCTCAGGACCACAGTCTTGGGGACATCAAGCTCAACTGGCGTAACACAGTCCATAAAGACAATGTTTTACATTCTACTTTGGTGAGTGGTGACTGAGGTCGTAAAAGCTCATGAGTGGCCATCTAGGAGCAACTACTGGTCTCTTCCTGTTCAGAGAAAGGAAGAGGGAAGAAAATCAAAGACACAAGGAAACAATTAGCCCAAAGGACCAATGGAGCATGTGAACCCCAGCTTCCGTGACCATGAGTCTGAAGAACCACATGGTGCCCGGCTACCACTTCCGACAGCTCTGAGAGGGGTCTCAATAGGAAGTCTTAGATAGAGTGGGAGAAAAATGTGGGACAAAACTCAAAATCAAAAAATGGTCCAGGTTTACTGATGTGATGGAGACTGACGGAACTCCTGAGACCATGGCCCTGAGTCACCCTTCAAGCCTGGAACTGAATTCATCTTTGTGGCTGAACTTTCAACCAAACACACAGGCCTAAGGGGTGAACAACAACACTCCTTGTAACCACCAACCACACGAGATCCAAAGGGCAGCATTTGCCCAGGGATAAAGTTCAGACAGGAAGGGACAGGAAAGAAGGGCTGATGGAAATAACGAACACAGGGAGGAACTGGGAAGAGTGTTGTCACACTGTGGGATTGCAATGACCATCACAAAACAAAATGTGTATGAATTGTTGAATAAAAACCAATTTGCTCAGTAAACGCTCCCCAAAGCACAACTAAACAAAACAACAAAATACCACCATCCGTGCTGTCACCCCTCCCCCCTGAAGTACACCTGTCTGTGTCCTGATCTTACCTACACTGAGTGGCAGTGGCAGGCCCTAGCTGGCACGCTCACCCACGCCCCCTGCCAGGCCCTGATGTGCTTCTCACACGCTTGGGGACAACCAGCCACCCAGGGAAACAATTTTTCAGCTGTCCCTCCTGGGAAATGAAGGT